AGCAGCAGCAGCGTTTTCTTGTTGTTTTTAGTATTTTAGGAAACGCCACTACCATCACAAAATAAAACTCTGTCTTTAAAAAATTTGAAATAAATATCCAATCACAACGGAACACGCCAAACGTCGTCACTTCTCCAAATGAAACGCGAAATTCTTTACAAAAATCTGCGTTTCCTTATCAGCACCAGAACACGTGCGTTAATTAAATTTCGCCTGATAATAAACCCTTATCGCAAACGACCAGATGTAATCTTTTTCAATGTGTCTTACTTCTAACACCTTATCTAAAATGAAACATTTACAAAAGCGATAACATTTAAACGCATGTAACAAAAGGGAAAAACAAACACGGAAGTACAAACTCAAGTCAAATAAACCAACCTTTGTTTTAGTTGTAAATAACCAACCGGATTTACTTAATAAATTGAAATAGTCTCATATACAGGTTGTCCCGTCATTAAATTTTGTCTAAGAGTATCTAAAGTTTTATTCAGTGTAAATCTGGTTGGGTTGGTTGGTTTATTTTGCTTGAATTTCTTATCTCAGTGTCTATTTTTTCCTTTTAGAATTGTTAGGATTGCGTATTACTCTCTTGTTTAAGTGTTATCTCTTTTTTAGATTGTTTACTTAGATTTAGTAGTGAAATGCGAAATCGCGTGCGAAAATGGGAGTCTTATCAGGCGAAAATTAATTTACGCGTGTTTTACGACGTGTGCGTTATTGTCCGCGTAATGCGTTCCTTAGAAGCTGGTGTTATCATGTCCGTTGTGATTGGCGAGTTATTTGAAATTGTTTTAAGGAAAGAGTTTATTTAATGATGGAGGTAGTGTTTCTTTAAATGCAGAGTTCCACGTAAAAAATGCGGTTGCTGCTGCTGCGAGTTCCACGACGGTTAAATAGCGTGTAAATTTGAGACTTTTAGTACTTGTAGTATGCGTGTGAACGGCAATGTTTCAGGTGTATCCGAGATGCCGGTACCCAGGGTTTAAGGTCTTAGGTACAAACTATGATGAATTCGACTACAGTCGTTATTTTAAATGATTAATTGTGAGCAAAATAGTATACAGGTCCGTGGTTCATAACCCATAAGCCCTCGGCGTAACTAATGAACCACTTCCCAGCTTGGTATGCAATCTACTATTACGCAAAACCTCGGGTAATCTGCCCTAATCGTTTTGTTGAAGACACAGTTCCTCGATTTTGAAAGAAAGTGTGTAAAAAAAGTTAAGCAATCTTAATAAAAGAAGTTATGTCGTCAAGTAAACTAGTAATAGTTTGTGGAAAGTTTTGAAAACGGTTTGTCCGTATTGAGAAAAAGTTATATCTAATAAACAAAGCAGTTGTCTGCTCACTTAGTGAAAGTTAAATGTTTTTACCGTCCGAGCAGCCATCGGATATTTTTTTCAACTTCCAGTTTCATTCATTGAGTTCAATTCAATATAGCAAACGTGAAGTTTCCTGAAACCGTCAGCGAGTGTTTTCTTTGTTTTTGATAAGTGCGACTGAAAATCGCAAATCGTGTACAACCAAATTATTGGACTATTGAATGACGTATAGTCCTTGCGAAGGAACATTTTTGGTTTAATTAAATTTCAGTTATACGACGTAGAAAGGAAAGTTATCTTTTGCATAAGAAATCAGTAAAAAGTAACTGGGTAATTTTGATAGTATTCGTTGAATTTGGGGCTAGTAAAAAACAGTGTCCTGTAAAGAAAGTTCCCGTCCTCCCGTCCGATGCTGAGTTGCCCTCCTATTCCTAGACTTTTGTACTCTCTTTAAGGCTTGCTTGCCTTTTCCGCCTAGGGCTCTTCGGACTCCCTTTAGAAGATCGGGGTAGGATTTTCCCTCCTCCTGCACAGTTAACCGTTTCTCAATCAGTTTTATTTCAATGAGTGACTTAATTTGTCGGGATTTATTTTTAAAATTTTCGTTGATAAAATTCAGATAAGAAAGTGAAATTTAAGGTAGGTGAGGGACGAATTAAGATTTTCAACCCTAGCTTATTTCAACCCCAAAATTACTGCAAAATTAATAATTGTGGAAGAAATTATGTTTTAATGCTTCCTCAGAATCATAAAACAGGTTTTTTTCAGTATTTCTTGAACCCTTTCCTCGAATTACTCCACCAGAAACAAGGCATACAAAAAATATATTGTGTGTTCACAGTGCGGGCACAATTGCTTCAGGCCATGTACCCGCCTAGGTCCATCCTTGGAATCGTGACTGCACCAAGTGCACGAAATCTTTCCTCTATTACATCTCTTATGTATTTAAAATCATAGGGGTTGTAGTCGTGTGATGAAATATTTAATTGTGCACGTTGTAAAATATTTCTGATTTGCAAAAAAAGTCATGGAAATAAGACTTGTCCATGAGAGGATTAAGGAACACATAACAGTGGCGGATTTACCAATAGGCTGAGTAGACGGCAGATTTTAGTGTGAGCAAATTTGGCCCAGCAATTTTTACTTAAAAAAAACCTTATTATACAGGGTGAATTATTTTCCATTTTCACTATGGGGATTTCGTAAACCGTGAGAGATACAAAATCGCAAAGTTATGCAGAATTGTATGCCTCTGAAAATCTCTTGTAGCTCTACAAATAGGAAGTTACAGACAAAAAAACGAAAAATGTAAATTTTTATGACTTTTGGGTTTCGAGTAAATCTTATCAGCTTTCTTATGTCTTATGGATGCCGTATTGGATTTTTACACTTGATAGAGAAATAGTTATTTACATATGAGTATGGTAAATCAAGGTTTACGTTAGCGAGTGAGATGTTTACTGCCGAAGCGTAGCTGAGGCAGGAATTTCGAAACGAGTAACGTAAAATAATGTAAAACTTTTATCATACTGCTCTATTTCTATTAAAATACCATTTTGATTAGAATGTTGTAGGTACACATTAAAATAAAAGCAAAAGTCGATCACTTGATTTGTTTGATGACAGTAGTTTGACAAATATCAATGCATACGTTTAGATGGATGTCAGTTACAGTTGCTAGGCAAAATTTCCAGTCTGGTAAAATACGATTTACCAGACTCAAATCAGTCTGGGAAAGCGGCGATTACTAGATAGTATGAAATAAAAAATATTACAAGATCACCGAACTAAACACTTAATATTTCATGGAAATTAATCTTGAATTTTTGCATTGAAGTTTACAATGTATTTCTTATGGCAATAATTCCATGTAATAATACCTAGCATAATTTTTGTAGGTTATACATAGAAAAATAAGGCCTTTCGAACATTTTAATAAAAATTATGCGTTGCTCTTTGAAAAAAAAAGTTCGATGCCGTTGCGGCTCTCCAAAAATTTTTGTTCAATAATCCGGCCCGTTGTTTTTCGCTTCATTGTGCCTAATACGCATAGGTATCCAAAATTTGAACAAAATGGAGCCCTTATCTCAAAAAATTGCCAACGTACATACATAGACGGAAAAAATCGTTTTTTCAAAAGTTGCCTGATATGATCGAAAACGTCGATTATTTGATGAAATTTTGACAGGTCCAATAAACGGTGATCACGCTCAAGCTAGATGTCGTCTAGTATAAAAACAGTCACGTCAACCATCGAAGGGAGCCGACCAGTGCAAAACTGGTCGCTTATGAGGTGTATACAAATTATGCTTATTATATTTTCATCTCCATCTAGCCCATGCAAAGAAAAAGACATAAGTTTTGCAGTGGTGACCTGCGTGATTGACCTTACTGTTTTTATACTAGACGACAATTACAAATTTGTTAACCGTAGCAATTCTATGAATGCTTTTCGATCCTGATATACATCCAGTGAAGGATTCCTAATTAACGAAAATGGAACCGATTCTCTCGAGATTGATGATATCGTGTTGCGAAATTAGCTCATTTTCCACAATTCACTGTAGTGTGCATTTACAATGGTTTGATTCAAACACGACCACACAAAATGAATTCCACGTGCAGCTTTAAGAATTGCTCAAAGCAGTAGAGTGAGAAGGCTTGGGTCTTGGTGTAAACTTTATTAACTTTAAGGGAGCATTGGAATTTTCTCAGAGGAAGTTCATTCACATTTTAACTACCACTGCATGCTAGAGCATAGTCGACGTCGCGTGCAACTCAAGGCGCCATATTGACTGGCAGACTTTAGATAACAATTCCGAAATAATGTTAGCTGCCGACGCCGTTTGTTTCGTACCTCTATTTTGATACTTTTGCAAGTTCTTGGCCCTGATTCACAATTACCTCGAGTAAATCACCTCAAACAAAATGGAAACATGCGTGATGGTTCACGACGTCGTCGTTCAGTGACTTTGGCGGTACCGAGACTAAAAACCGATCGCTCGCGTGACAATAACATATCTTTGTCTACGGATAAGTAATATCGTGTAATGAAATTTCAGTCGGATTAAATTTAGAGAACTTTATGAAAGTTCCCCACCTACCGCCGAATATTTTCCAAGATTGTGTATGAAATATGTGACGTGACGTTAATGGAATACGCTTTTTACTTCTATTTTCGCCGAGGACAAGTTTAATTTCCTGAAAATGTAGAAACGTCTAGCGACCTGCTAATTGCCAGGTTGTTTACTTGGCGTAATTGGAAAATCGCCCGAAGAAAAAAAAGGACCGTGCCCTCCCTAATTTCGGCACGGATCGCCGTAACAAAGTTGAGCAATTTCGGCGTGATTTAGCGCGAATTTTCGTAAGGGAGAAATTTAATAAAGCATTGTGTGTTTGATCGTTGCACGCAGTTTTGCGGCTAATCCTTAATAAAACTTGGAGTGTATATGTTGTGGGTGGTTTTTTTCGAGGGGTGGTTTTTTTCCCCGAAACAACTTTCTACAGCGGCAGTTATTGAATTAACATTTAAACATTTATATAAAGTTAGTATTTCCATTTGGTGGAAAATGCGAGGGCGGCACCCACATCGTTGCTATGTGTTGCTGTGGATCGAAAGACTATCGTGCCGACCCGGGAGCTTTCGTTTGGAGCTTTTGGGTTCGGCGTATCAGAAACACATCGGCGACCTAAGCACTGGATTTTCATAGACTGATTGATATAAAAAATGATTGTTTATGTGTATGTGGTTTGAAACGGTTTCGAGTGTTCGTCCTGAAACCTTTCCGGAAAAATTCTCGTTGAAAAGCTCACGCTTTGGTTGTGAAGTGTATCAGTTCTTTGTTACGGTTTTTTTCTCAGTTTGCCTAAATGTGTAAGATGACCGAGATCCGTTTCCGTGTCTCCTTAGGCAAAAGTACAACGTAACCCATGGAAAGGTGCTCATCGGGCGACCGCGTATCGGCTTAATGAGCGGGTGAACAATATGAAAACTAGAAAAACTAGACCCAGGTGTAGTTCTCCAGGTGGTGACGCTCAGGTAAGATTCTCTCCTATCCTTATCCCTTATACGGTGTTATCCTTGACACGGTTACTGAAAGTAAAACGCATATTTTCGGTCAACGCATTAATATTTATTCCGCTTCGGGGGCTGCCACCGATTAATGAGAAATTCGATAAAATGTTTAGTAATTTATACGGTTCACAATACCCCCTTCCGCCGTAACGTAATTTCAACAGAAAAATAATAAATTCTTCTCAGCCCTTTTCCTCGTGTTCCCTGTTTTATGGTTATTTTTTGATCGTATAGGTTTTACGAGATGTCCTTAACACACGCACCGGCGTCTAAATAAAAGGAACTTTACAGCGTCTTGGCTTTCATTGTACTTTCATGCATTAACGATGCCCTCGTAATTTAAACGTTATTGCGATGTAAACTACCCCCGTGAACAATTGGCATCAATTAGGCGTTTGTTGTCATTTTATCAGGGCTTTAATTCGATACAGTAAATGTACTATATGAGGTATAATGATCTATAAATGTAGATTTAATGTCATCTGCTGCTGTGCATAAATTTACATTGGGAATTGAGCAAAATACGTACTTATTTTCCCGAAGGAAAAAATATTATAATGTGCTCCTGGTGTTACGCGCCTTTTGCAATCGAACAATGTTTCATATTTAAAGAAACTTCATCTCTTAGCTTTCAGAGAGGGCTACCGCACACAATATCTAATTTATATTGCGTTATCAAGGCCTAATTTTCATGCTGCGTATGCCACACTTAAAAAAGTAACCCCAAATTCTGCCCGTACGTTTTCTGCGTAGTCACTTTTCGAGAAAAAGTAGAGTTAAATTCTTGGATTCATGTCTCATTGGACCTTTTTGCATGTTACACAATTTTTTTTTCATTTTCTGTAAAGTCAAACATGCATGTTCCCTGCTTTCATTTGACTTTTATTCCTTGTTGCATACAGCATCATTCTCCTAGTGCCCTTCTGTCTGACTACTAACCATAATATTGCATTCGAAGACGAATTTCTGGTTTCTAGATATAAGGTGTAAAAGTTTTAATAAAAATCGGTTTTTATTTATTTTATTACCACCAAAGAAAGGCCCTTATGACGACAAATAAGTCTCCCAAATTTTATTTAAATCGGCTGAAAGGTTTTTGAATAATTGATAAAGAACCGATTTAAAAAAAAAAACTGTTACACTCTGTATCTAGAAAACGACGCAAGTTACGACAAATTTCTTATTTTACGCCCTAAAAATCTTTGCGCTCAATTTTGAATCACCTTGTATAGAGCTATAATCGATAAGTTAATATCAAGCAAATGTAATAATTCGTTAATCTTCAAAGGGGTTTCGTTAATATTTGCGGATAGGAACTATATCGAAGTGTAGGTAAACAAATTCCCACAGTGGCAAAATTTTTCAAGCCGCTAATGCAGAAATATCCATCGCGTGGCGTTCTTGAATTGATAAGATGGCCTAATGAATTTTCTTTGCGCAGTATTGAGAAAATCCACAATTCTGCGGTTTCTACAGCAACAATCCAGTAGGTAATAATGAAGAAGAGAGTAAGCCAGAAGTAAGAAACCTAAAAATTATTATTCACAGTCAAAAGGTAATGTGTAATTATTGGTTTGTTGGTTCAAACCAAAAACGGCCTAAGAACTTGTCAAATATATCCATAAATAGTGTCGACTAAATTACAAAAGCAAAGCTTTAAACTTATATAGACACAACAAATCCCAAAGGCAGATCAAAATGTCGAGTAACTATTGCGTGTACGTTCTTACAAGTAATGGTTAAATGTGGTTTAGTACAAAAAGGTGCGTGCGTCGAAAAGAATTAAAGAAAACTCTGCACGATCTCGGGCGGCAAAACAAAAAACTATTGCAAAATAAATCTATATCAGCGAATATAAAGAACTGAGGTAATGAGAAATCTACTGCAGAAATTAACTTATATCTTAAACTAGTGAATTACAATTCCTAGATGGGATAAGAATTTTAATAAGAGCACATATCAAATAGTTACTTAAATGGAATGTAAATCAGGAATATCAATCGGTAAGAAAATAACGTTATAAATTGGCATATAACATCTGAATTCACTCTTGTACCTTTTCTGGTATCAATGGCCCAGTGTGACCACGCGATGGCGTTGTTCTTTTGTGTGTACCGCCCTTGCCCAAGTCCTTAACGTCTCCACTTCCCTTTGTCAGCTGCTCTTCTCTTTATCTTCGCAAATCCTTTTCTTCTCTTCAATTCACTGATCATTCTCCTAATTCTTATTCCTCGCCTGGAACCCCCCTTCACACTTCTATCGAACACCTCCCTCAACAGCCCTTCCTTAATACAACCCCATTCTAATTAATTTTTCCACATTTCCACATTTCCAGACAATCTATGGTTCTCTTCTCCCTCTCACCTAATGTTCACGTTTCTAACCTCTATTTGGCAGTCCCTTCGGCCATGATTTTCCATTTCTCCGTTATTTCTAACTTTGCACGGACCGGTTATAGAATCATATGGGGTGCTCCGCCGTGGAAATTGTCAACTTTCTTGCTTTCTTCCTTGGAAAAGCTGCGAAAATTTACGCCCTCAACGTAAAGGTGACTTGACGTAAACGATGGCTCGCTCTTGGCGTTCTTTGTTCGGGATTCACCCAATGAACCGACTAGCTTAAAATTGCACGATGCGATTTGCGAACACAGACAGCGTAGATTACACAACGTCCAACGAATGCTCTTTCCCACTATTTACACTCATATTTTTAAATTTCCCTATTGTATCTCTTGGCCTCATAAGCGCCTTATCCTACATTGACGAAGGATATATAAACCTTTTGTCATTAAACGTTCGGTTACGATAGACGTACAATGATTCGCTTTATTTACCTCATTCCGAATATACGCCCTTAACCCAGTATAACTATTAATTTACTTTATTTGCATCTGAAATAAAATTGCATTTCTAACCGCACTTATTACAATCCCATTTTAGCTTCCTTGCGGTTAAATCAAAAACCAACTTGTGTTATGAATAAATGAAGTAATTAACTTCCTTACAATGCTAAAGCACTCATTCGCACACACACGGTTGTATTTAGATTATTCATTCTATAAAATTTCTATACATACGGAAGTGTTGTTACACAAGGTATCTTCAGTATACAATCAAACAACAATTTTGTATTTGTATTTGTCAAATATAATTTAATATCTGACATTACGATCTATCCGATCGCATATTGAATCTTCCGGCATCATTTCCGGTTTTACCGAAAACGATGCAACTTTTTTTAAAAATGAAATGCCAATGTTTTTTAAAGATATTTGAAAAAAGTAATAAATGTATATATAAAATTAAAAATCCTGGGGGTGGATGAGAGAGAGCCGTGGACTGGTGGCTGTAAAAACCGCCATAGATTGTAAATGCCTCATCTTGCGGTATGGTAGTAAAAATCAATTGTTTATAGAGTTTAGGCAACCCGGTGGGTGAAAAAGTGAGATGTTAGAGAGACACGCAATTTCGGTCTGTATTCCCTCTCTTTCCGTATTGGTCGTGGGCAACAAATCAATAGTACCTATTGTTGTCTTTTATAAGCTTGGCAATAAAAGAAAGCTACGATGAATGAATAAATTTTTCGCGTTGCTTTTAGATGTCAGACAACGACAAAGAGAATCATTTTCCTTCGGCTAGCTCAAGATTATTGAACTTGATTGATTAATGTATTACACGGATATTATTTTGTCCACAACTGTATTGAATCACACACTAATTAATATTAGAAATTTGCCAAAAAGGCATTTGCCATTTTCTAATCGTTTCCAAAAGCTTTTCAGCTCTTGAGACGATTTATCTATTTCAGATTTCAACTAAATCGGTTGGGTAGTTTCAACTGAACCTTTTTTACAATAATTATACCGCACGCACGCACATACACACATAAAATTTTAAAAAGCACTTTTTTGGACTCCGGGGACCTTGAAACGTAAAGACCCGGTGAAATCTCAAAATCTAAATTTGGAGTGGTTTCAATAACCTTTCATTTTTTTTAATTTTAACCACATTTTTAGAAGAGCAGTTTGCCAGAACCTTCGGGGGCATCAGTTCCCAGGCTGCATATCTCATCTCATCAAGACGCTCACGTACATCCCATTATTTTTGTATTATGACGCGGCAAGTTGGCACTAATTGTTTCACACGCAATCCAAAAATTAATCAAAAAAATGTTTAAAAATCCAAACTAAATAAACCCCATTAAAGGGCTCCCGTTACAGCTCGATAATTATACCAATCTTCTAACATTTATTTGCATTGCCTTCCCGTTTAATAAGTAATTAACTCATATTATCATTGGACACCCTGTAATCTTCTTTCTACATTGGATTTAAAATTGGTTATTATTTGAGACACGTCTGTCATATTTATGTATTTGATTATTTATCTTTATAACAAGAACTCGTCTCTTTACATTGTTTGAAGTACCTCCTTTGACGGACTGAAGCCGTACGTAAGAGGAGTTTAAATTTTTAAAGATCACTCTGCACCATCGTTAAGCCGTTAAAAGTTTTATTCTCTTTGTTTGTCAAAGGGGCAGTTTTAATCATTCAGCAGAATCAATACCAAGTGTATCGCATGTATGGTGTATTTGAAGCCAATCACGTCGAGAGCGTTAATTTCCCTTAGATCCCGTTGGAATTAAATCTTCCTTCGACAAGTAAATTGTGTAATTAAAACAAATTAAGTAAAGTGCGTTGTCGCTTAATAGACGATTTCATTTTGTAAAAGCGTTATGTTACATTACGGTAATTAATTTGATTACTCTGCTAATAATGAACTTGCGCGCATTTTTGGACCTACCATCAGTGTATGCTAAAGGTGCGATGTAGGTAATTAATTCTAGATACGTGATCCCGGGCGCAAGAACGAAGTCCTTCGTAGGAACGTGCCAAACGGTGGCCCAATAACATAAACGCAGCATAGGGATTAACTGCACTAAGCCTTGTAAATCGTGACATTTGC